TTTCGCATGACTGTATTTTTTTTTAAAAAATGATGTTTTTTTTAATATACTTTTTTGTTTATCATATAAATATTAACATTTAATTAAATTAACTTTTTTTACTACAAAATTAATAATTTAAAAAATTTAGAAAAAAACAGAAATATTAAAAATTAGTAATATAAATATTAATAATTTAATATAAACTAATTTGACAATACTAATCACAAAATTAATTTCATGTTATTTGTGTAGTTATAATAAATTATAACATTTAATAAATTATAATTATATGAAATTATAATTTCTTTATTTATTTTAATTGAAAAAAATAGTAAATTTATTATTGTTTTTACTAATAATAAAATTACTGCTTAAAAAAAATCGTAATAGCAAAAAAATAATTCTTTTTTTTCATCATATTTACTTCATTAACAAAATTAAATTTATTATAAATTTTACTAATTTATATACTATCAACTCACTATTAACTATAATTTATATGTAATAAAAATAGTAAAAGAAAATGTTTAATAAACCATATATAACTAATATAGTTTATTTGTAGAATTATGTTGATTTTATAATGAAATCAACTTAAAAATTAGAAAAATGATTCATGTAAAGAAAGAAAATAAAACAACTAATAAATAGTAAATAAATTAACCAAATAAGATGATACAAAACGTCCCGATTTTTTTCCAAAAAACCTTGTCGGACTTCCCAATTTAGCGAAACACTCCAGCCGGGAAAATGCAAAAATATTTTCTGTTAAAAAATAACTAATATAAAGCTATAAAATAATTAATAACTATGATTTACCTTATTCTTAAGACACAAAACGGCGAAAAAGTGAAGAGATTGACCATTTGCATCAGAAACAACTCAAAAAGAGAACTTCAAAACTTGTTTATACTTGATGGGAGGGAACAGCAGCAGTAAAGCGGAGAAGAAGGCCAAAAAAGCGAAAAAGAGTGGGAAGACTCCTGCGACCACCCCTGCGGTCGAAGTAGTACAAGATCCCAAAGTCTCACCACGACAACCCCAAGAACAAAAAGTTGAGAAGCCCGAAGCGAAGGAGACACCTCAAGAGACAAAAGAGGATCATTTAGAAGATTTGAAGAAAACTGATGAAGTTGAAAAAGTCGATGATTACGTTGAGTTATATAACTCCTCACAGAAAAAAGTCACACAAGACGACTTTGATTTAGTTCGTGTGATTGGTCGAGGGTCCTTTGGGAAAGTGATGTTGGTACAAAAGAAAGACGACAAGAAGTACTATGCGATGAAAATATTAAGAAAGGACGTTGTGAAGGAGCGGAAACAAGTTGACCACACAAAAGCCGAGAAAACTGTGTTGATGCAAATATCGCACCCGTTCATCGTCAAGTTGTACTATGCGTTTCAGACGGCAGACAAACTCTACATGATATTGGAGTTTGTCAACGGCGGAGAGCTTTTCCACCACTTGAAAGAAGAGAACTCGTTCTCTGAAGAGCGGTCGAAGTTTTACGCAGCGGAGATCGCACTTGTATTGATCCACTTGCACTCGTTGGATATCATTTACAGAGACTTAAAGCCAGAAAACATCTTGTTGGACAATACTGGCAATGTAGTGATCACTGACTTTGGATTGAGTAAACAACTTGCGGAAGGACAAGATACGTCGACTTTTTGTGGGACTCCAGATTACTTAGCGCCAGAGATCTTGAAGGGGACGGGACATGGTGCTGCAGTTGATTGGTGGAGTTTGGGGATTTTAATATATGAAATGATTGTTGGAATACCCCCATTTTATGATGACGATGTGAGTATCATGTACCAAAAGATATTGAAGTCACAACCCCACTTCCCGAAAAACATTAGTTATGACGCTAAAAGTGTGATCATGGGTTTACTCGAGAAAGACCCGAACGATCGACTGGAAGGGAAAGACGTCATCGAAATGGAATGGTTCAAGGACATCGACTTCGATAAACTACTCAAAAAAGAAGTACCACCCCCTTGGGTCCCTCCAGTCAAAAGCAAAACGGAGATCTCACAAATTGATGAGGAATTCATCGACGAGGATGCAGTGGATACTCCACCGAATGAAGGGAATACTAATAACCCCGATAACACGTTTGAAGGATTCACTTTTGTACAACCAAATGCAATGGGTGAGGAACAGTAAAGCATGTCATTGTGTCAAAATTTTAAGTCAAACTTTTATTTTTTGAGTTTTCACGAGGAAATTTGGAGATGCAACACATGCTACTTTGTGTTTGTTTGTTGCAACACAATTTATGTCTATCTTTTGTTAAGTAAATACTAAAGGAGTTATTTGTTTGGTGTTTGAAATAATAACTGAACTATCATAAAGTGTTGAAATGTAATTAAGATGTGAAAACAATAATTTAAAAATGTTCTTCTATATATATTATACCAAAAATAAAATAGATACATTTTCTTCGTCTAATAATATCAATAATATATCAAAAGATTTAATTAACGCTAACATGTTATGATTAGCAAATATGTTTTGTAAGATTGAAATTGTCATCGTTGTCATTTGATAAAGTTTCATCTCAACTTTCAATAAGTTTTATGTTTTGAATTATTTTATAAATATTAATTGATTTCAGAATTACTTTATAATCAAGTGTTGTTTTTATCCTCATATGGTTTATAAAATAAATTAATATCAAAGATGCACAATCCAGTTAATTGTCTCATAATTTCCCTTTCCCATCGTGCTAAGGTTAATACTGAAAAGTAATTCTTCACAATTGGAAACTCCAATTAATTTCTAATTAACTATTTTGGAATAAACACTTGAAATTGTATATATATTTTTAAATCAAAAAATAAAAAAGGTTTAAAAATTAAAATAAATATTACTCTTTATTATACCCATCTGAAATAACAAGAAAGTATATCGATTTATGCATTTTAGACAAATAATAAAAACTATCAAATAATTAAATTTAATGTTATGAATATGTAATTGATTTAAATGTTATTAAAAAGAAATATTTTGAACCAATAAAAATAGGATCGAAACAGAAATATTTTCTTTTGTTTTAAAAAATAGTGTGGGATTTGCAATCAACTAAAACATATATACATTTTAAAAATAATGTGTTTACATATTTATGTTTTGATTTAATATCTCATTTGAATGTCATTTTAAATGAATTGGTTCGATTAAAATATTTTGATGTTATAACTTCTTCTCCTTCATAGTTTGTGCGATTATTGGTTGTTAAATTGTTTTTGTAAATATGGATTGAAAAATTGGGACTATTTAATACTAATATACTCAGAACTCAATACAAAGAGAAGACCAATAATAAATGGATGTTGTTTAAAACATACTTGAGTTGGTTTCATTTTGTCTGAAAATGGTAGATATTGTTTTTAACGCCGATTAATCCGTAAACAACCCGAAATATAACCAAAAATATCAATAAAATAGCAGGGAATCCATTCGTTTCATTTATTTCCTATTTGATTATATTGGTTTTCTATTAATAACTTGATTTTCAACTCCAACTCACACTATTTCAACGAAATTGTTTAATGAAATTTTTGAATAAGAAAAATTAAATATTTCTTCGTTTGATTAATAATACAATGAAAAAAATAAACGCTTTTTATTGGATCTGTTCTATTTATGTTCTCTTCATTATAAATTGGTCAAAATTTCAACAAAGAAACTGCTCAAAACACACAAAAGAATGGATTTTAATTTGAATAGTAAAAGTATCAAGCACAAATTTGGTTTTTGAAGTTCTAATTTCAAAATTGAACCCTTTGTTTGAAGAAAAAGAGTTAATAAATCACACACTTGTTCATATATTATAAATAAGTGAGCATGTTCGTAATTTAAGTTTTAAAAGCACGATTTATTTAATATTCGAAATAAAAATATAAAAAGAGTTTATTATTGATTTAGAATACAGACTAGTTCCTTGTCACACTTTTCCAAGACAACCTTCTTTCGTGTAACAAATAGTTTGCTGATGTGTTCATGTATTATTTTTCCTTTCGTTTCAAGTTCGTTGAGTTCAAAAGTCCTTCCTGCAAATCTCATTCGTTGAATGTAATCGATGACCATTACATTATTCTTTCCACTTGAATGCGCACACTGAAATGTTACACCATTTTCTTCACTCAAGTCAATTAATAGTTGCATAGACTCTGTCGTTCGATTTTTCTTTAATCTTCGAAGGGCCGTCTCTTCTGTGACATTATTTAGAAGATCAAAGTTAAACCGCTCGAGGATTCGTTTTTCAACTATTTGCTCGAAATCTACAACATCGGTTTGAGAAAAGATTATTTTGACGATAGGAAGGAATGGCTGAGCAACAAATGTTTTTCTGGATGGTCTACAGAGCTCTATTTTGGCAACTTGATTGATAGCAGCAATACAAACAGCTTCAGTTAGCACATGGTTACTTCTTCGTTCTTTGTATGTAATTTTTCCACTTCTCTTTTTCATTGAGTACATTATCGAATTGATTAGACAGTTTGGGGGTTTTTAAAGCCAAAAATTTGTTTAAATTGGTTATTGAGAGTAGTGAACCAATTTGGATAAGCACAAAGTATTGATTTGGGGGGCTTGAAATGTTTATTTTTGGTTTGAAACTCTACTTCCGTTCCTCTTAATTTATTTTCTATGATTTGAATTTTGATTTATTCTATTTTTGAAGCCCCTAACATCCAGTTTATGTTCGCCTTTTGTTTTCTGTTCTAAGATTTTTTGAACCAAATTACATCATCTTAAAAGTGTTTTGGCACATACAGAATTATGGTGATAAACCATTTTCAACATAGAGTGAATAAAAATACATTTTTAAAGCTAATGAGGTTGGTTTTAACAATAATGATGTTAAATGTCTTAGTTCATAGAGTATTTATAGATTACTTTTCTAACACGTTTTTCGTATACCAAAAGTGTGTGTGTTTTATAATTGTTATATACTTATTAGTAGAATATTTATTGTATTTCACATTTATCATTAATACAACAGTTTTGAGGTGACAGACTTGTTTTACGATTCTTGTAT